CCCAGGAGGCAGTCAGCCAGAAATATTCAAGATACTGACCACCCCGCTCTTCAGGGACTTGAATGCTAATAAACTTCATTTTTTTGTCCCAAGTCATCTTGTCAATCTGGTTTTAATTAGTTAGCATTCATGACCTTGCCAAGTTCAAAGCAATTTAGAAAAGTTGTATCAACTTGAAAGCCTCTATTAATTTATGGAAAAATTGTGCAAGTTAGGAATTACTCTTTTTTTTTTTTTTGAGAGGTTTTTTCACTATAGGGCGTGTACACTCGCCAGACAGACAGAGACATAGAGACAGAAAGGGAGAAATCACCCCCCAGGGGGGATGGTCACACCACAATCCCTCCGCCTCCATTCTCCTCTCGGGATCTTGGGCACACATGCACACGTGCCCGGCATGAGTTTTAAGCCACCGGGTCCAGGACGCAAACCACGGTCCACTACGTGGGAGTCCAGTGATATCGCCATTACGCTAACTGCTGGTTCCCAGGAATTACTCTTGTCTGCCTAATGCCATGTAAAATTTCTTCATCCTACCTGCCTGAGATTCAAGAAGGCTGCCTCTCTTTATAGATACCCTACAATTCTATAGTCTTATTTGAGTACTTAGTAACAAAGGCAAATAGAAATAGGATATTTTTGGGCCAGCAGGTGGTGTAGTGGTTAAGGCACTGGACTCCCATGTGGCCAACCATGGTTCAAGTCTTGGACCTGGCAGTGTGAAAATCACGCTGTGCGCGTGTGCGTGTGTGCTCAAAATCTCAAGAGGAGAATGGAGGAGAAGGGGCTGTGGGATGGCTATCCTCCCTGGGGGGTGATTTCTCTCTTTCTATCTCTCTGTCTCTCTGGCAAGTGCATGTGCCCTATAGCAAAAACCTCGTCTTTCTGGTGAGCACATGTACCCTATAGAAAAACCCTCTCAAAAAAAAAAAAAAAAAGAAAAAGAAAAGAAAGAAATAGGGTGTTTCAAACCCTTTAGAAACATCTATTCCATAATCATAAGTTCTGTTAATATTTACTGAGTGCTCACTGTGGGCATGTCATTTTCCTAAGTGTTTTGCAAGGGTTATCTCATGACACCTTCACCCACGAGATGAGTTATTATTTCCATTTTACAAACCAAGGCCCAGAGAGGTTGATATACGCCCCCCAAATCACACAGCTAGAGAGCCCCAGGTTATGTTTTGCTTCTATATTGCTAGAGAGAAAGAAGAAGAAGAAAAAAAACTCATTGCAAATAATTCTATTCTGTCCCCTGGTGACAATAGGATTCCCTAAAGGCAAGAGAGGGGCATCTCTTCTAGACATACTATGCTCTGGAGTTCTCCTGGGCTCGGAGAATCTACCTAACACCCCCAGTTTGAGAGTAGAGTTCCAGCCACTGAACTTGGCCGTCAGTTCAGGAAAGCCAGGCTGGCACTAGGTCTTTTCTTAAATCCTAGCAGCTGAATCATTATTTATCCAGGATATCATGTGACTGAGCAGAAGCAACAGGGCATGGGGTGGTCTCCTGAGCTCTTATACCCAAGCAGGAGCAACCGGGCATGTGTGCACATACACACAGATTTGCACACAATAGACAAACATACACACTCTGTGCCTCCCAGGCATCTATTATTTCAGCAGTTGGAATTTCCCTGCCATTCATTTCTGTGTTTTGCTACCTGACCTCACTCTTTTGGGAATGTACAGAGGCCACAAGGGAGGCAAGGGGGGACCCACAGAATAGGGCAAAGGGTGAGAGGGCTGTGTGGGTAATAGGTAGGATGACCGGGGACTCTGAAAGCCTCGGGTATGAGAACTGGGTGGCCTGGTGCAGTGGACTCTCAAACTGGTGAAATGCCAATGCCCCTAATTTGGAGGGCAGTGAAGGGCAGAGTGAGGGAGAGAGAGGGGAAGGGGACTTGGGATAGAGGTGAGAGTGGAGGAGGGCTGTGGCCCAAAGGCACAGATTTCCAGGCCTCACTCCTGCCATCTGAATTCAGTAAATGTGAAGTGGGCTCAGGAGTCTGTCCTTTTAAGAACCTGTGTCTCTCACACTTTCAGAAACAGTGCTTAGGTGTTTTTTTTTTTTTTTTTTTTAGAGTTTTTTCTTGTTGGGGACGG